CAACGGCTTCAAGCGCGAGATGGCAGCTCGTTTCCGCATGAGCGATCTCGGGCAGCTCTCCTACTACCTCGGCATCGAGGTGAAGCAGGGGAGAGACTCCATCACTCTCTGTCAGCGTGCGTATGCGGGGAAGCTGTTGGAGCGAAGCGGCATGGCTGACTGCAAGTCATGCGCGACTCCGATGGAGGAGCGGCTGAAGCTGACGAAAGCCAGCACCGCAGCGAAGGTGGATGCAACACTCTACCGTAGTATCGTCGACGGGCTGCGCTACCTAGTCCACACGAGGCCAGATATCGCATTCGCCGTGGGCTATGTCAGCCGCTTTATGGAGGACCCTCGAGAGGACCATTGGGCTGCAGTAAAACGGCTGTTGCGCTATGTCAAGGGGACGGTGGATCATGGCATCATTTTCCCCAAGACCGGCGACGGAAGTGAGCTGCGGCTCACGGTTTTCAGCGATGCAGACATGGCAGGCGACATTGATGGGCGGAAGAGCACCTCCGGTGTGCTCGTCTTCCTTGGATCAGCCCCAATCTCATGGCAGTAACTGAAACAGAAGATTGTGGCGCTGTCTACGTGTGAGGCGGAGTACGTGGCGGCAGCCACAGCGGCATGCCAGGCAGTCTGTCTGCGTCGGTTGCTGGGCGAACTGACCGGCAAGGAAGCTCGTCCACCAGCTCTGATGGTGGACAACCTGCCTGCCATTGCCCTTGCAAAAAATCCAGTCCTCCATGACCGGAGCAAGCACATCGATACCCGTTTTCATTTCATCCGTGATTGTATCGATGAAGGACATATTGTTTTAGAGTTTGTCGAATCCGGACGGCAGCTCGCAGACATCCTTACCAAGCCACTCGGCCGTCTTCGATTCATGGAGCTGAGGATCAAGATTGGAATGGTGGGAAACAAGCAAGAGCAGCAGGATTAGGGGAAGAATTGTAAGATATAATCCTGCAGTTTCCTTGTTAGTAAAGTGCAACTTCCTTGCACTTTCATTACACTTTCATTGCAATTTCATGGCACTTTCATAGCAACCATTTTAGGCTGATTTTTCAGCTCTAAGAAATTTCTAGGAAAGCCACTAGAATAGTTGTTTTTAGTTCTTATAAATAGGGATGCAGTTTTTCATTTGTACAGAAAAACTTAATACTCAATACATTGAGTTGTTCACAATCTTCTTCTTTCATCCTAAAAGTGTTAGTTTGTGCCGGAAGCATTTTTGCTTACCTGAACAGTGAACGGGCAGGAACTAACACATAGCAGCAATTAAGTGGAGGGAGAAACTAAACCAGTTTGCAAGAATAATCAAGTTTCAAATGCACAATATTTATAATGCACCACCAATATTAAATCAGAAAATTTCTAGGCTGAACGATACAAAGAATGCATAGGGCAGATATAATTCTATATAAAAAAAGACTGGTAAAAAGGTGGATGTAATAATAGCTATACTACATCTCAATTACAAATAAGAATCACCTCCTAAATGAAGTAACTTCCTTAACAGTCTTGGAGCATCAAAGTCTACAAATTCAGCTCCTAGAACTTAAGAACTTCGAACTAAAAAACTTATACAATGGTATAACAAGCTTTTCCAAGCAGGTGTCTTGATTTCCATTTACATTCAAAAATCACAAAGAAACAATAAAAGCTGAAATCATAGAAAACGATTTACGTACCTACACTCCAGTACGAATAGCCAAGCGTTAATGGATATGGAACTACTTGAATCTCGAACAGCCTTTTCAATTCCTCAACTTTATCATCAGGGATCTCAGACAAATCTGCCATAAGCCAACACAACTTCAAGTTACACATACGAATAAGAAACTCAAAATTGATGCTTTTCACGTTCTTATTCTTCATCTACAAACTTCCCGCACAATATAACACTAGCAAGAAAGAAAAAGCAACAACAACTCAATACCTGGAATTTGGATTCTCTCGGACAATAACATGTAACGATTCTTATCAGAAGCTGGATCTTCTGTTACAGGTTTGATGCGTGGTCTATTAAGTAAATATCTGCAACAAAAGAGAAAAGTAACAATAAAAAGGGAAACACCATGGAAAAACTATGGATAACACCATTCATCAAATACCCATTTAGAATTCGAGTTGCAAGCTTGCAATGCTCCCGCGGGACTCGAAGTGCCAACAAATTCAACTGTACGTCAAAAGCTTTCTCGTCCAACATGGCAGCTGCAAATCACTCATCACATTATGCAAAACTCAGTTGATTCTCTAATCTAAACCATATATACATTCACAAGAATAAAGAATATAATAGTAATTAAAATGCTTCAATTCTTCTAAGCTTGCCTATAGTATCAATGAACATGAAGTCGTGCTTGTTGGAAAAATATCGCCAATAAATGTGCAAGCCCCTATGGAATAAGCAAGTGAAATAAAGGCATGGAATGCATAACAATTAAGGATCAATAAAGGCATGAAAGCACGAATCCAACAGATGACACATGCTTCACCAATAAAGCATCAATAAAGGATACAAAAGGTTGAATAATATAATAGGTTCATGAAGTTAATATAACTTAAACAAGCCTAATGCCTGATACTATACAACAAAAAAATAAAATTAAAACCTTATTATTTGAAAAAAAAATAAATAAATAAATAAAAAATGAACCAACAGAGAAAAACGGATTGCTTCATTGATATAAGGGTGAATGAACTAACATTGTTAGTTGCTACAGAAAAACTTAATTAGCAACTGCAGGAAACAACACCCAACATGGATAGCTAATAGATGATATCCTTCCAAATCACTGAAAATTATTTTTCTAAAATCTAACATTGTTAGTTGCTATAGAAAAACTTAATTGGCAACTCTTGAAATATTCTAAGCCACGGCACAAACTGACAATGGGTGGACTGCACCTAAGATATAGTGATTGAATTTACTCAAACAAATGCTAGAAGAAAGTGTGTAAAATCCATGCATTTTATGTTAAAATGCCACACCCGACACTCATACCACACTAGTGTCGACACAACATGACACGGGTATTCTTCCTAAATAGAAGAATCCGGGTAACATAGGATAAAACAAAAAGTCAAGAGCCAGAAGTACACGAATGGCCATATGAACATTATCTACCAGTAAGTTTCTCTTATAAATTCAGATCAATTAAAAGAAATCACAATCCATAACTGAATCTCCGAGGCGAAAATGACATCTTTCAATTTAAGGAAATAAAAAAACACCAGCCACCTGTTTTGAGCAACAATTCTAACAACTTATAAATCAAAAACCTACATTAGCAGTTCGACATCAGTCTCCGATAAACAAGCAAGCGGGAAATTCATGAAAAAAAGACATAGGATGAACAACAGTTCAAATAAATGGAAAGAAAACGAGAAAGCCCCTAAAACCCTAGTAGCTTAAGACAGCGTATACCTCGACCAAAACAACTCTGATTGGGCATGAAAATCACTTCCTAGTCGAAAGCTTGAGCAGCCGGCGGCTCGAGGAAATAGAGAGAATTTAAAGTGACTGATGAGGAGAAGATTTTTCTACAAGAATTTGATGTGATTTTATCAAGTTTATTATATATCAACTGTTTTGTGTTTGCGTTATTTGTATTTTACTTTAGCTATTATCCAATTCTGGCTCGGCCCATCTCTTGTTGGGCTTAAATCTATTGCCCATAACTTTCTTAACCCAGTCCGTCTACCGTCTGATGGAAAAAAAAAAAAAAAAAAATGAGAAAATTACTTCACTTACCATCAAGATCAACTTTATTTGCACATATATCAATATTATTTTTTATTTGTAAGTATACGCACACATTAATTTTTATTTGCGTTTTATACATATATCAATTATCTCCTCTACGTGTATGCTTCTCAGCCCTTCACAAGCACACGTGGCACATCTTATATTCACGCACATCCCAAATGCACATATATATATGATGATCTATTAGACTTTATATTTTCTCCTTAACTAATAATTGTTTTCGATAAATGGTACTGACGACCACAAAATTAGAGGGTACTGATGATGAACATGTCTACTCGACCTTCACTTCCAGACATGTCCGTACATCTCTTCCCAGATATATTATGATATCTATGTGATAGATTAATTTATTTTAATTTAGTTAATCGATTCGATTTGGAGAGCATAAATATGGATTTTGCAATGGAGACCATCGATTCGACCGTCAACAAGGTTCAGAGTGTCGGGCTTTATCCGAGTGGCGATGAAGATGAACTCCGCCCTGGTAATGCCCCTGATCTATGCGGCGGTTGCTACTGATGATGCTCCGCGAAGATATGGTCATTGATGGCGTGCTTGCAGGGACGATGAATAAAAGGGAGAGATTTTTTTTTTTTTTTTGCAGTATATGTTGCGTATATAGACGGTACATGTTCAATATATATTTTCATTGGCGTGTTTCTCATTTGGCTCATATTTAATTTTTTATTATATATTGACTACAAACACAATATATACAATTGTATATATTTTGTATATAATGACAAGATTGATTTATCTCGTGTTTTTGTATTCATGTCTTCCGTATATAATGAGTATATTTTATGTATATAAGTCTAATATTGTATGTTGCATGTATTAAACCAGAAAATATACTATAAATATACCGAAAATACACGAGATGTAAATAACACAAAAAATGATTACGAAAAGATAAAATTACCTGATTTATTTTATATATTTTCTGTATATCTTATGTATATATTATGTATAAATTTTGCGTGAATGTAATTCTGATTACTTGATGTTTTTTCATAATTTATTTATTCTCTTATTGGTTTATAAACATATAATAAACTAGAAAATTTTGGTAAAAAAAAAATTATTTAAAAATTTACATGAAGAGATAATTAAAATTTAAAGGAATGAAATAATAAAGATAGAAGAGAGGAGAGAGGAGAGAAAATAACGGAGAAGGAAAACGGAATGAATTGGAGAGTGTAAATAAGGAGAATTTTTAGGAGTAGATAAATGAGAGAGGAGAGAGAATGTCTTTAATATGTAGTATTTATTTAAATATTTATGTTAGATTAGGTAGATGTGCAAATAAATTTTTTGTGTGGTATCTTTACAATTATTTAGCGATCAGTTAAGTACATATGTAAATTCCCCGAAAATAATCGAGGAATTTGCACTCCTTACTTCACCTATAATTTTTATTACACTTATATCTTCATTATGTTATTATATATAAATTGTCTAACCAAATCAAAATATTTTCAATTTTACCAGATATTAGGATTAACCGTTATTCCCTTTTTTTTATGGCAAATTAAATACTATTAAATTTTTAATTGAAATTAAGGATCTCATTTACCTAAGGGGGCGATTATAGTTTCAACAGTAAAAAAATCAATCAAAATTTAAATTTAACTCAATTTTAACCCAACCCCAATATCTCTCATATTATCAATATAATTAAATAATATCAACCAATCATTTTTACACATCACATCAACTTTAATTCATTATTTATCCACTCACATAATTTTAACTAACTATTACTTCCAATCATTTTTTTTTTCAACTTTAATTATTTTATTAAATATTATTTTAATACATCCGCTAACAACTAACCATATATTTTTTTTCAAAATTAACTATAACTAAAAAATAAATTAAATAAAAACTAATTGAATTCATAAATAATAAAAACAACCCACGGCCTACGTCCTCTCTCTCTCTCCAAAACTCTATGTCCAGATTTTCCTTCTTATCGGCCAAACCCCGCCCCAAGCCAGCCCATCCCCTTGCGCCGCTGCATCCGCCTCCGCCTAGATCAAGCACCGTCACCTCGCGGACGAGAACGTCCGCCGATCATCTCCCGCCACGTTAATTTACCTCAGTAATCGAGTTTTTTTTTTTCGATTAATGATGGGGTTTTGAGGTAATTTGTCGTGTTTCTGTTTTGTAGTTATAGAAAATTCATTATTTGTCTGATAATTCTTTTATTGTGGATATGTATAGTCGAGTGATCCTGATGACTCTATAACAAAACTGCTAAACTACTAAAGAAGTGCAGTGCACCCAATCGAAGATTAACTTCTCCGACGACGAAGGATGCTCGGAATTTCATACGGAGAACTCTTCCTCCTCTTAGGAGCTGCGGCTGCTCTCATCGGTACCTCTTTCTCAGCATTTCTCTACAAATGTGATCTCGATGCTTGTTTGCGCCATTTTTGTTTTGGATTTCGTGTTCGTATTCTAGGGTTTGTTTGCTAATGAAGAGCGGATCTGCATTTGTGCTAAAAAAATATCTTGTGGTTGTGTGCGAAAATCTGATAATTGAATATATATTATTGTAAAATTAGGTCCAAAGGATCTTCCTGTTATAGCTAGAACAGCTGGGAGATTAGCTGGGCGAGCAATTGGATATGTTCAGGTGGCGCGTGGCCAATTCGAAAGCGTTATGCATCAATCTCAAGCTCGCCAGGTATTATTTTATTTATTTTTTATTTTTTGTGTGTGTATGATTTTCCTATTATCCATTTGCCCTAATCTGATCAGCGGCATGGCTGTTTGAGTGTTTGTGATGAAATTGATGTTTTGTGTTGTTATTAATTATTCAATAATTCTGAAACTGGAGACTTTTTCGAGTGCCAGTGAGTTTGGTTATCGAGATGTTGTTTATTGATATTATTTGGATTATAACTTTCCTGTATTTTCCTTGCGAAAAACGACAGAATAGCACTCGTGTTGATATGTATTTACTCGTTTGATAATTGATATGAATGCTCTTTGAACAAAATCAGACTTTGGTGATAATGTGACAGGTTCATAAAGAACTGCAAGACACAATGGCCCAATTAGAAGCCATACGTCATGAAATTCGGTCCATTTCGTTCATGAATCCTAGTCCTTTGGCGACAAGGCTAGTCGATAACATCGCTGGACAGCCTCCCGTAACGAATGGTATCTATCTTTGTTAAAATTCCTCGTTTGTATTTATAAACAAAGAAAAATCATCCTTGATTACAGATGTGTTTCATGGCTGTGTATTATAGTGGATAGTGAATCTTCAAAACCTCCTGAAGATCTTGCAGAGAAAATTGAGATCAAAGAGACCAGTCGCATGGCCGAGGTAGGTAAAAAGAAGGAATTATAAAATACCGAAATACTAGTTTCGATGTGAAGATTTTACTGTTTTTTTAGCTAATTTCACGCTTTCCTAAGGATAACAGTTTACCGAGCCCGGTACTGTCCGATATACATAGCCAAGCCACCGCATACGAAAGATTGGCTGCTGAATCCCCATTAGCTGGAAAGTCCATGGATGAAGTTCTTAATGAGCTGAAGGATGAATCTGGTCAGTTTGTTGTTCTTCCTATATCAGCTGAAAGTGCGAAATTGTTGCCCAGTAAAAAAGGTGAAAACACGCCTAAAATTCTATTATCCTTTCCTTATTCCGCATTTTCATAAGTCAATGGACCTTGAGAATATCTATTCACTGGCCCTTTTCATGGTTCTTGAAGAACTAAGTTAGCCGTTTTTTATTTTTTTGCTTCAGGTGAGCTGAGGGGTTCGGACATATTGTTGGAGGCAGTACTTGAGGAAGATGTGGCAAGGAATGCAAAGGGCTTTTTCTCTCAGGCTCAAGACCAAATAACGAATTGAACGAACAAAGTTAGGTTTTTCTCTTCCCATCTGTGTGTGTATAACTGTATATACTTATGCTCATTATTTTATTTTATTTTTTTATTTCTTTTAGGCCACCCTTTATCAGTTGTCTTGAAATCTTAGAACTATATACTTACATTGAAGTCTTCTTAGGTTGTGCCTGTGTTTGGATAATTAAAAATTATGTCATGCAAAATATTGCAAATCAAGAAGCAACCAAGCTCTCTGATCTGGAGCTGGGGCTAATCAGACCTTTTTTTTGTGTGTGTTTGTAGATACATAAAAATTGTGTCCAATCAAATCGCGCCACGTGGAAATTAATTTATTAAAAATCAAGTTATATTTTCTATTTATATTTTAGGAATTTCCATATATTTA